GGGATGGGATGGGATGGGGATGGGGCAAGGCAGGGGCGGTTTTGCCTCTCCCAGCAGCACAGACACTCTGCTGGGAACGGGAAGTGGCTGAGCCTGGAGCATCAAGCAAGGAATTCTCCATTCCAAGTCTCCATTAAGCCAAGCTTTGTGCTCAAAAGCCTCCTCCCGGTGTTCCATGTGTGGCTACTCAGCCCCGGCTCTTCAGGCCTCTCTGCTGCAGCCAGGCTCCCATTTGGAGCCTATCAAGGCTGTCTGTTTTTAATTTAACCCTTCCTTTTGGAGTGGATTGGTCTTGAAAGGCATGAAAAGGCCGGGCTCCCGAGCTGCCTTACCTCTTCAAGAGCCACGGCGAGGTAAGTGCCTGTATTTTTAAACCACACCAGATTTATCCCTAATGCAGCACGCTGAAATCAAGCTGCCAGCGTCAATGCAGCCCTGCTGACCTTTGAAATGACCCCCGAGGTTTTAAGTCAAAGACATTTCTCTTTTCCTGGGTAAAATTCTCCCTGTGATGTCTTCAAATGATCTTAAGTGTGCGAGTGATGATGTTTGTCTAAGCAAAGCACGTGTGTTGTTAAATCAGAAGCGGGGTGCATCACTTCCAGCAGGTTCATAAACCTCTTGGAGCCCGTAAAAATCAGTTTTATTTTATTGAAGGAGCAAGAGACAAGCTCCACAGCAGCGTGGCTGTGCTTAGATAAAAATCAGGAGGACTGAGTTGTCTGGGGTGCCAGGATGGGATTTATAGAGTCCCCCAAGGTGTTTAGGGGGGATGGAAAAAGGGACAATTCTGGTCCTCCCCTCTGGTTCCTCCCAAATGGGGAGAGAAACACCCAGTGAGTGAAACAGCCCCAGCTGCAGCTTCTCCCTGCCTCTCCATGATCCTGATCCTGGTCCTGGTCCTGATCCTGGTCCTGTCCTGGTTCTGATCCTGGCCCTGATCCTGGTCCTGGTTCTGGTTCTGGTTCTGATCCTGATCGTGGTCCTGGTCCTGATCCTGATCGTGGTCCTGATACTGATCCTGGTTCTGATCCTGATCGTGGTCCTGGTCCTGGTCCTGGCCCTGATCCTGATCCTGATCCTGGTCCTGGTCCTCGTTCTGCTCCTGCCCCTGGTCCTGGTCCTGATCCTGATCCTACTCCTGTTTCTGCTCCTGCTCCTGATCCTGATCCCAATCCTGATCCCAATCCTGCTCCTGCTCCAGATCCTGATCCCAATCTTGATCCCAATCCTGATCCCAATCCCAATCCTGTTTCTGCTCCTGCTCCCAATCCTGATCCTGCTCCTGATCCCAGTCTTGATCCTGCTCCCGATCCAGATCCTGATTCCCATCCTGATCCCAATCCTGCTCCTGCTCCTGATCCCAATCCCAATCCTGCTCCTGATCCCAATCCCCATCCTGCTCCTGCTCCTGCTCCTGCTCCTGCTCCCAATCCTGATCCCAATCCTGCTCCTGCTCCAGATCCTGATCCCAATCTTGATCCCAATCCTGATCCCAATCCCAATCCCCATCCTGCTCCTGCTCCCAATCCCAATCCCAATCCTGCTCCTGCTCCCAATCCTGCTCCCAATCCTGCTCCCAATCCTGATCCCAATCCCAATCCTGCTCCCGATCCCAATCCTGATCCCAATCCTGATCCCAATCCTGATCCCAATCCTGCTCCTGATCCCAATCCCAATCCCAATCCCGATCCCAATCCCAATCCTGCTCCTGCTCCCTCATTTTTTCCCTCTGGCTGTGTCCCCGCCCCGCAGTTGGGGCAGTTCCTGTTGGGTTCCCCACACCGGGGCTGTTCTCTGGAGGGAAATGGGACGGGGTGTGCAGGGACGAGCTCTGCTGGTGTCCATCTGTCCGTCCAGCCTGGCAAGGGGCGAATCCGGGATCCAGGGGCTGCTCCTGGGCGCGTTTGGGGGTCCCTGGATGAAATCCACTCTGCTGGGTCCCATCACCCCGGGGACCTGCAGAAGAGGGACAAATGGGGAAAACAGGGAAAAGACTCCTGGGGTAAAGAGGACCGGACACACCTGGCACCCCATTTCTGTCACAAACAGCTGTGAAATGTGACCTTATAAAAAACAAACCCCTGGATGTGAGGACTGCAGGGGAGATCCCCTCCCTGGGGTTCCCGTCCTGTCCCTTCCCCACAGATGGGGTTTGCACCCTCCTATTCCTGCCCCAAAACAGCAGCGGGGAGAGGCTGTGCCTCAGGTGCCACCGCAGCATTTGGGGACGAGTTTTGCTGCAAAGGGGCACCGAGACACGGCCCCTTTGCTGCTCTGCCTCCCCCACTGTGCCCTAAATAAAGGGAGCCCCAAAACCAGCCCTGGCAGCTCCTGCCCGAGTCCCGCAGCTGGGACCCAGCTTTAATCTCCCAGCTCTGCTTTAAATACCCGAATTTCCCCGCCAGGAGCCGGGTGAAGCCCGGCAGAGCCATCGCAGCTGATGAAATGGCCCCACAAGCAGCTTACACACTCCTCATTAACCGGGGGGCATTAGCCCCGTTTCATCACCCTGAATTCATCGGCTCCGCTGCTCCAGCACAGAAAGTTGGATTTTAAAATCCTTCAGCCTAACACTCCTAACTTCAGGAAGGGCCACTGCAACACAATTATTGCGTTTATCTAATTTTTTTTATATCTAGTAATTTATTTTTTTGTCTATTTATTTATTTGTCTATTTTTATTTATTTATCTATTTATTTATTTATCTATTTTTCCTGGGGAAAAAGAGGAAAAGAGAGGAGAGGAGAGGAGAGGAGAGGAGAGGAGAGGAGAGGAGAGGAGAGGAGAGGAGAGGAGAGGAGAGGAGAGGAGAGGAGAGGAGAGGAGAGGAGAGGAGAGGAGAGGAGAGGAGAGGAGAGGAGAGGAGAGGAGAGGAGAGGAGAGGAGAGGAGAGGAGAGGAGAGGAGAGGAGAGGAGAGGAGAGGAGAGGAGAGGAGAGGAGAGGAGAGGAGAGGAGAGGAGAGGAGAGGAGAGGAGAGGAGAGGAGAGGAGAGGAGAGGAGAGGAGAGGAGAGGAGAGGAGAGGAGAGGAGAGGAGAGGAGAGGAGAGGAGAGGAGAGGAGAGGAGAGGAGAGGAGAGGAGAGGAGAGGAGAGGAGAGGAGAGGAGAGGAGAGGAGAGGAGAGGAGAGGAGAGGAGAGGAGAGGAGAGGAGAGGAGAGGAGAGGAGAGGAGAGGAGAGGAGAGGAGAGGAGAGGAGAGGAGAGGAGAGGAGAGGAGAGGAGAGGAGAGGAGAGGAGAGGAGAGGAGAGGAGAGGAGAGGAGGGAGAGGAGAGGAGAGGAGAGGAGAGGAGAGGAGAGGAGAGGAGAGGAGAGGAGAGGAGAGGAGAGGAGAGGAGAGGAGAGGAGAGGAGAGGAGAGGAGAGGAGAGTTTTTATTTCTTTTTCGGGAAAAAGAAGGAGAGGAGAGGAGTTGAGTTTTTCCCCCAGTCCTGGGGGACTCCTCCTGCTTTCCTGCATCAGGGCAGCTGATCCGCTCTCTGCAGGCAACTGTGTGTATAAATATATATATATATAATTTAAAATAGAAAAAACTACATATTTGTAATAGAATAAAAACACAATCCGCGATATAAATACAAATATAACACATAAAACAAAGGCAGAAAGACGCATGTATTTCCCATACACAAACACCCGCTCTGAGGTGCGCGGGCACCACGGCACGAAACAAAGTGCGGGTGTGGCTCCAGCGGGGCACAGAAATCTCCCGTGGGGCTCCTGCTGGCACGGGCAGCTCTCCGCCCGCCCCGTGCCCAATTTTGGCACCTGCTGGAGGAGCCACCGCCGTGCCCGGCCCGGGGCTGGCAGTGCCCGCCGCTGCCGCACTCATTAGAGCCCGGCCAGCGCCGGTTCTATTCTTTTACAGCTTTTGCCTCATCTATTTACCATTTACCAGCTCATCCATATGGAAGGCATGGCTTGCACTTCCCTGAGAACTGTACTTTTAGGACTAATTGATTCGGGTAATTAATTTGTTCTACCTGCTGGATCAGATGGAAGCGCTGTCCGTGTGCCCAAGGATTAGCACTTGTCTTTCTAACATCTTTCTTAATTATCTAATAGCATGGGTTGTGCGAATTCTGCCTCTATTAGAACACTTTTACTATTAACGGTAGTGATTGGAATTGTGATGACAACTCGATTTCAACAAATTAGAGCTTAAAATCAGGAGATGAAGGAGAAGCGCCTTCTTTTAATTTCCCTGAGTTTAACATCAATAATTAGAGCAATTTTCCGAGATGCGAACCGAAATTATCTCGGCTATGATGTGGTGTATCACCCTCATTTGAGCAAATTGACTCCGGGGAAACGAATGGTGCAGATTAGAGGGGTGAGGAAAGGCAAAAAAAAAAAAAAAAAAAAAAAAAAGAAAAAAAACAGAGGAAAGACCCAAAAAAAAAAAAAAAAAAAAAAAGAAAAAAGTGTTGGCGGGGAAGGGATGGGAATGGGAACAAAACCGTGGTGGGATGGATGAGAGCTGAGAGGGAAGGGAGAAGCTGCGTGCGCGGGGACAGGTTGGGAGCGGAGCGTGGGAAAGAACTAAGAACCGCTGGTTTATTTCCCCCCAAGTTTTGGTTTTTTTTAAAATTAATTTATTTATCTGAAAAAGGGGAAAAAAAAAAAAAAAAAAAAAAAAAGGAGATTTCCCCCTCCCGTGTTTGGGGAGACGCCCCGAGCGCCACGCTGGGAGAGGGGCTGAGCGCTGCGCGGCTGCGGAGCGGCTCCCGGGCGGCTCCTCGCCCCTCCTCGCCCCTTCCTCGCCCCCTCCTCGCCCCCTCCTCGCCCCCTCCTCGCCCCCTCCTCGCCCCGGGGTGCTTTGGGTGCCCGGCAGGCCCGTCCCCCCCCTCTCGCCATTGGCTCAGCGCGCATCCCCCTTCCCAGCGCGCCTCAAAGGCGCGCAGCGCCCCGCGCATCCCCGGCGCGCCCGCCTCGCCTCCCCCGGCTCCGACAGCTTATTTCTGCCTGGGGGATTCATTTTTAAAAAAAAAAAACAATCACTATTTATTTTTACTTTGGATTAAAAAACAAAATAATTTTTGTTTTTTTATTTCCATCATTCTTATCATTTCTCTCCCGTCCCTCGCCCGCTGCCCGAGGGGGAGCGAGCCATGAACCTCAACTTCACCTCGCCCGTGCTGCCCGTCTCCACGGGCAGGCCCACCTCCTTCTTCATCGAGGACATCCTGCTGCACAAGCCCAAACCGCTGCGGGAGGTGCCCCCCGAGCACTTCCCCGGCTCCTTGGCGTCCCGCGTGCCCCTCTTGGACTATGGGTACCCCCTGATGCCCACCCCGACCCTGCTGGCGCCTCACCCGCACCTGCACAAGCCGGAGCATCACCACCACCACCCCTATTTCCTCACCGCCTCGGGTAAGTGCGGCAGCGCCTGCCGGCTTCGGTGGGGACTCGGGTGGGGACAAGGGTGACAGAGCCGCTCTGGGGCGGTCAGGTATCTTTTACATCCCTCGCCACCACCCTGCTGCATCCCCCGGGGCAGGAGCAGCTCGCCCCGGGGCAGCCACTTCGTTAGCGGATGCCCAAAACCTTGAGAGTTTGCCTCTCTTTGCCTTTAATTTGTTTGTTTGTAAAAAAATCGCTTTTATTTTGGGACCGACAACCTCGCTTTTCCCTCTCGTTGTCCAAGCGGGATTCGCTTTTCCTCCTCCAGCGGCTCCGCTCCTCTCCCGCACCTGCGGCTCTGCCCGTCCCCGGGCCCGTCCCTTGTTCTGCGAGGAGAAAACCTCCAAAGTGTCCCAAGCCGAGCTGTGAAGGATCGTTTCCCCTTTCCCAGTCTTTTCCAGGGCTCCCCCGTTTTTTTCCGTGCCCATTTCGTTGTGGTTTGGCCGTCGGGAGGGTTCAGGTGTGGAGTCCCCTCCGTGGCAGCGCTGCCCGGGCTCCCTTCACCTTCCCGGGGTGGGCGAAGCGCTTGGAAAATCCCCCCGTTTTCAGCACAACGAAACCCCCAAACCCAAACCAACCCCATTACGAAATAAACGAAAAATCAACAAAAAAAAATTCAGAGGTGGAGGGAGAGCCCACCCCGAGCCGCCGCTGGAAAATCCGACATTCCCGAGGTTTTGTCCCAGTGCCGGTTCCCTGACCGACCGCCCCGCGGGTCTCCGCCGTGTGTCCCCCCAGGAATGCCGGTGCCAGCGCTGTTCCAGCACCACGCTCACGCCGAGCTGCCCGGGAAGCACTGCCGCCGCCGCAAAGCCCGCACCGTGTTCTCCGACTCGCAGCTCTCCGGCCTGGAGAAGAGGTTTGAGATCCAGCGGTACCTCTCCACGCCCGAGCGGGTGGAGCTGGCCACGGCGCTCAGCCTCTCCGAGACACAGGTACGGCAGCGGGGACTGCGTCTGGCACCTGTCCCCAGCCCTCATCCCGCCCAGCATCCCCTCATCCCGTCCAGCATCCCCTCATCCCATCCAACATCCTCTACATCCCATCCAGCATCCCCTCATCCCGTCCAGCATCCCCTTATCCCGTTCAGCATCCCCTCATCCCGTTCATCATCCCCTCATCCCATCCAGCATCCCCTCATCCCACCCAGCATCCCCTCATCCCATCCAGCATCCCCACATCCCGTCCAGCATCCCCACATCCCGTCCAGCATCCCCTCATCCCGAGGATCATCCCCACATCCCGTCCAGCATCCTCTACATCCCGTCCAGCATCTCCTCATCCCATCCAGCATCCCCTCATCCCGAAGATCATCCCCCCATCCCATCCTTTCAGCCTTCCCCATCACTTCCAGCATCCCAGCACCCCGTGCAGCATCCCTGCATCCCCTCCAGCGTCCTGCACATCACATCCCCTCTGAATCCTCCCATCCCACCCATTCAGCACCCCCGGATCACTTCCAGCATCCCCACATCCATCACACCCAGCATCCTTCTCCCTTTAATTTTTTCCCCCTTCTTTTGTGTCTTTTTTTTTTTTTTAATCTTTCTCCTGCTGTCCCCCCTCTCCGCAGGTGAAAACCTGGTTCCAGAACCGCCGCATGAAGCACAAAAAGCAGCTGCGGAAGACTCAGGACGACCCGAAGGCGGCGGCCGGGGAGGAGAGCCGGGAGCAGAGCTCCCCGGAGCCCGAGCTGCCCGAGCCGGCCGGAGCCGAGCCCCGCAAGGGCCCCCCCGGCCCCTTCCTGCTGCAGGACCCCGAGGACGAGGTGGACATCCTGGAGGAGGGGGACATCTGTCCTCACCGCCTCTAGGACAGGCGGGGCTCTCCTGCCTCTCCTCGGCTCTGCCCCGGCCCCGCAGGTCGCTCCCACCTCCTCACCTTGGGCACGGCTCGGGCAGGGGAAAGGGGCACGGCTCGGGAAGGGGGCACAGCTCGGGCAGGGAAGGGGCTGTGGATGCGGTCACAGCCCCCTCCCCTCCCCGGGACGAAGGTGGCGATGCCCCCGAGGGTTCCGGGACCCCGCCGGTGCCCCCCAGCATCACCCCAAAGTTGGGCTTTGCTCGGAAATCCGGGGCGGGGGGATTGAAACGAGCCGAGTTCGCTTTGGGTTCCCCCTTCCCTCCGGATTTTCCTCGTTTCCCGAACTTTCCTCGGGTGTAAAATAAATGTATACTCGTGGCAGCGTGTTGTGGTTCCTGGGAGCGGATTTCACCCTTTATTCCCCGAATCCCTAAATCTCGCCGCTCTTCCCACGCTCGCCGTCTCCATCCCCAGCGAGGGAGGTCGGGCAGAGCTTCAAGGACGCGCGTAAATAAAAAGAATTGTAAGAAAAACCCTCCGAAGAAACAGGTAAGGCAAAAATTCCGCTTGATTTCATTCCGCTACGGGGATTTGAAGGGGGAGCATCACCAAGAACTCGATCTTGCCAGGGCTGCACGGAGCAAACGGCGCTCCCAGCCTGAAAAAAAGGGATTTTCTACAGCTTGGAGAAGTGTCGGCAGCCTGATTCCTGCCCGGTTTCCAGGCGTGGATCGCGGATAATTCCCTTTTCCTCTGCAACAGCCCCGGAGCGGCTCCGGCCCCGCCCGCATCCCCCTCCCGCATCAGCGGGATCAGCCCGGCCGTGCTCGCTCTGCCTTTGCCTCCCTGCCAGGGAAATGGGGTAATTCCAGGTAAATTCCGATTTTTTTATCATTTAGTTTGGTTTTTGGGCTGAGCTGCTGGCTGGGAAACGCGCCGGGAGCGCGGCGGAGGCTCAGCATCTCCGGGGAAGAGATGAGGAGATGCTGGGATTGGGAATTGGGATTGGGATTGGGAATTTTTCCCCTGGAGCAGGGGCTGTGCTGCCTCAGATATTCCCTGCTGCAGCAGCAGCACGGCGGCGTGGCGGGCTCTCCTTAGGTTATTTAATTTATTTCCTTATTTTTCGGTTTTTATCGGAAATTTCATTTGGTCGTCTGGCGTTCTTAGCACTTGCAGGGCATTTTGGATTTTGGGACATGTCGTTTTGTGAGGGAAAAACGTTTAGTTTTCCTGTTTAATATATAAAATATAGTTGATTGAAACGTGTATGTTTATGTTTGCTTCCTTTTTTTTTTTTTGGTTTTTTTTTTTTGGTGAGTCCGCCTTTCTAGTTTTTTACATGTAAAATAAATCTCACACATCGTGTGTGGAGGATCCACCTACCCAGGAAAAGCCGCTTGTCTTTAATAAATCATATCAGGACAATCATTTCCACCAACAAAATGCCATTCACCTCCCTAAAAATTCGGGTTCAGAAGGCAAAGAACCGCTTTGCTGCTGAAAATTCGAATCGGTTTGAAGCGGAGCCGGTTGGAGATGCCGCTCCCGCTCCGGCCTCTCCCCTTCTCCCGACTCCCGTGGGCGGAGAAGCGACGGGAGCTGAAAAACCTGGAAAATTCACTTTTTTTTTCTGTGTATTTTACTCTGTGGTTATTGTCAGCTTCCCCCCACCCGAATTATGGAAATGATAATTATGGGAATGATGAAAATTAACATCTGATCCACATGGTATTTATGGGATGCGCATGGTATTTGTGGGATCCACCTGATATTTATGGGATCCACATGATATTTATGGGATGCACATGATATATTTGGGATCCACATGATATTTATGGGACCCACATTATATTGACGGGATCCATCTGATATTTGTGGGATCCATATGATATTTGTGTGATTCACATGGTATTTGTGGGACCCACATTATATTGATGGGATCCATCTGATATTTGTGCGATCCACATGATATTTGTGGGATCCACCTGATATTTGTGGGATCCACCTGATATTTATGGGATCCACATGGTATTTATGGGATCCACATGATATTTGCATGATCCACATGATATTTATGGGACCCACATTATATTGACGGGATCCATCTGATATTTGTGGGATCCATCTGATATTTGTGTGATTCACATGATATTTGTGGGATCCCTATAATATTTATGGTATCTACATGGTATTTATGGGATCCACATGATATTTGTGGGATCCATATGATATTTGTGCAATCCACATGATATTTATGGGATGTACATGATATTTTTGGGATCCACATGATATTGATGGGCCCTGCATGATATTTATGGGGTCCACACAATATTTATGGGATGCACATGATATTTGTGGGATCCACCTGATATTTGTGGGACGCCTATAATATTTATGGTATCTACATGGTATTTATGGGATCCACCTGATATTTGTGGGATCCCCATAACATTTATGGTATCTACATGGTATTTATGGGATCCACATTATATTTTTGGGATCCACATGGTATTTGTGGGATTTTTTTTTTGACCACATCTGCCGCTGCTGTTCCAGGGTGGGGAATGGCTCAGGGCTGGCCTGGTTCTGCTCTGGGGTGCCAGATCTGTGATAAAAACTCAAAATACGACTCAAACCCCCTCAAATCTTTGCTGTTGCTCCCCTGCCACTCCAGGAATTCCTTTCCCAAAATATTTCCCTCGATCAATAAAACAAACCCCACAACTGTCTTCACCCCTGGGCGGTTTTAGGCTGACAATTCAAGGTAAAATTCAGATTAAAAACCGATGTCACACAGGCAGAGTGTGAATATTCCCAGTCCAGAGGTGTCCCCATCCTTGCAGGGAACAGGAAGATTTGGGAATCTGCTTATCCTACAAAGTTTGGTGCAAAAAACCCTAAAACTGAGACAGCTGAAGGAAACATTTACTGCCAGAGAAACCCCCTGGGTCACCAGCCAGCTCCTGGCCAGCTGAAGATGGAAAAATGTCATTTTTACAGAGTCTGGGCAACGTTTTGGGAACAGGTTACTGGAGAATGGAGATGGTTCAGGAAAAAGGAAGGGCTGGGCAGGCGGTTTTTTGTTTCTAGCAGAGATTCTTTTCACTTGGAATAAATGAAATAAGGTTTTATTCAGAGATTTTTTTTTTTCACTTGGAATAAATGAAATTAGTTTGGTTTTTTTTTTTCAGGGATTTTTTTTCACTTGGAATAAATGAAATGAGGTTTTATTCTTGGATCCTGACTTATTCTGAGCAGCCGACTTTTCCCTGTTCTTCCCAAAAAGCTCGAGGAGCAGGGGAGAGATTTAGAAAAAAAATAATAGTGTTGATTTGGGGAATGCTGGCGTGGAAGTGACTCGCAGGAAATAATTGCTGGAAACAGGAAATGTCAGTGGATTTCCTATTTTTCAAGAAGATTGATTTTTATAAAAATTCTTCAATGAGTTTTTCTGAAATGAAATTGTGTTCTGGTGATTAATTTAAGATAAAAGTAGTTAATGTTGTTGGTTTTGGGTTTTGTTTTTGTTATTGTTGTTTTCATGATAGAAAATCAAAACCCAATCTATAAAATCCTGCCATGAACCTTTGCTTTTTGTTTTGATTTTGAGCTTTTTCCTGCATGCTGCCTTAAAGACTTGGAACTTTTATGGGTTTGGAAAGCACTCCCAACCCAAATTCTTTCATTCTATGGCCAGAGCTCCATAAAAGCAGATCAGATATAGGTTTTAAGGGCATTTATAGAGCAAATAATTTGAATTTCTTGCTGTTATACACACACGGAGGAAGAGGGAAAGGTGTAAATAACCCATGGCCAAGCCCAACAACGACCTGGGCATGCTGTAAAATTCTTTCCATGATTTCTCTCCTAATTTCTCTCTGCTGCCTGCTGGATTCAGAGCATTTTTTTGTGGGCAATGCTGAGGAATTTTTCCTCTCTTCCAGTCACAACAACAAAGAGCAGCACCTCAATCAACTGCAAACTCCTGCTTGGATGGTCCTGGCTTTAAAAAAGTGGCTGATTTTGGTCCTGGGTTTATGTTGTTTCTAGATTTATTGTTTCTTGGATTCATCTTGTTACCAGATTTCTTATTTCTTGGATTTATCTTGTTTCTAAACTTCTTGGGTTTGGGGGTTATCTTGTTTCTAGATTTCTTGTTTCTTGGGTTACCTTGTTTCTAGATTTCTTGTTTATTGGATTCATCTTGTTACCTGATTTCTTATTTCTTGGATTTATCTTGTTTCTAGATTTCTTGTTTCTTGGATTCATCTTGTTACCTGATTTCTTATTTCTTGGATTTATCTTGTTTCTAGATTTCTTGTTTCTTGGATTGATCTTGTTTCTGTATTTCTTGTTTATTTGGTTTACCTTGTTTCTAGATTTATTTGGTTTGTTTCCAGATTTCTTGTTTTTGGATGATCTTGTTTCTAGAGCTCGGGGGAGCCACTGGTGGCTCTGCAGGGGTGGGGCCAGCTGCTCCCAGCATGGATCCTTGGGAAGGCAGGAGGGTGGAAATGTGGGATCCTGATCCCACAGGTGGCTTTTCTCCCCGCATTCTTTTCAAGGAAGAAGTTGGTTTTAAGGTTTTATCACCCAGCTTTGTGGGGGCAGGAGCGAAGGTGAGCTGCCCACACGTTAGCCATTCCTGAAACCAGTGCAGGAAACCACTGAAACCATTCCTGAAACCACTGCAGGAAACCACTGAAACCATTCCTGAAACAGTGAAACCATTCCTGAAATCATTCCTGAAACCATTCCTGAAACCATTTCCTGAAACCATTTCCTGAAACCATTCCTGAAACCATTCCTGAAACCATTCCTGAAACACTGAAACCATTCCTGAAACCATTCCTGAAACACTGAAACCATTCCTGAAACCACTGCAGGAAAAAAACATTCCTGAAACCATTCCTGAAACACTGAAACCATTACTGAAACCACTGAAACCATTCCTGAAACCACTGCAGGAAACCACTGAAACCATTCCTGAAACTATTCCTGAAACTATTCCTGAAACACTGAAACCATTCCTGAAACTATTCCTGAAACACTGAAACCATTCCTGAAACTATTCCTGAAACCATTCCTGAAACCATTCCTGAAACCATTCCTGAAACCACTCTAGGAAACCACTGAAACCATTCCTGAAACCATTCCTGAAACCACTCCTGAAACCATTCCTGAAACCATTCCTGAAACCACTGCAGGAAACCATTGAAACCATTCCTGAAAACATTCCTGAAACCATTCCTGAAACAACTGAAACCATCCCTGAAACAACTGCAGAAAACCATTCCTGAAATCACTGCAGGAAACCACTGAAACCATTCCTGAAACACTGAAACCATTCCTGAAACCATTTCTGAAACCATTCCTGAAACCACTCCTGAAACCACTGAAACCATTCCTGAAACCACTGAAACCATTCCTGAAATCATTCCTGAAACCATTCCTGAAACAACTGAAACCATTCCTGAAACAACTGCAGAAAACCATTCCTGAAACCACTGCAGGAAACCCCTGAAACCATTCCTGAAACCACTGAAACCCCTGCAGGTGCAGCCCAGCCCGGCATTCTCTGCTCCCGTGCCTGCTGCTGGCTCTGCTGGGGCTGCAGGACAAACCCTGCCGTGCTCCCAGTACAAACCCTGCCCTGCTCCCAGTACAAACCCTGCCCTGCTCCCAGTACAAACCCTGCCGTGCTCCCAGGACAAACCCTGCCCTGCTCCCAGGACAAACCCTGCCGTGCTCCCAGCACCCCATCCCAGTGCAAAGCTGAGGATGCTCCGGGATTTTGGCTCAGCAGCACTTCTGACCCACCAGGATGTCCTCCCTGCCCTTACCCATCGCTGGGTTCTGTGGATCTCCAGCTCCTCCTCACACCTGAGCTGCTCCTTTTCCACATTCCTGCTTTTTCTCACATGGAAAACTCTCAAGTTTGGGCATCAAGGACAAGATTGGATCCCTAGCAGGAGATCCCAGAAATCAGGTGTTTGGTTGGGGACAGCAGAGCCCCTTGGTGGGTGTTTGAAGCATTCAGGGACTGCAGGACTTGGGTAAAACCTCAGCTGATTTCAGTCCTCATCTTATTTTTAGAGCTGGAATGATGGCTGTGAGGCTTTGCCTTGTTTAATGTATTTAACTGATCAAGTTCATGCCCTTGAGGGTGCCAGCAGCCTTTGTGAGGTGCTGGGAAGCCAACTTTGGTTATTTTTGGAAGAAACTCAATGAAGATGTAATTACATTACAATTACATTGCTGTAATTGCAGCAACATTTTTTAGGTAGAACTGACACCAAGGCTTTGCCCACTGAAAGTGATCTCAGCTGCAACACTTCCAGAACCTCAAATATTGTGAAATTATGGCAGTGGAAAGGTGTTGCCAAGAAAATGTTGGGAATTTCCATCGGGTTGTGCACACAGACTCCTCTCCGTGCTCAGTGACACCACTCAGCCTCTCCCTCAATACTTAATTCAACATTTAAGGCTGATTTTTATTTAAATATTTTGCCTTCCTAATCTGAAATACATTAAATTTTGGCCTTTGGCTTTAAGCAGCTGGATGCTCATTGGTCTGTTTTTTTTTATGCCACCATGTCTGTGAAGCGCAGGGAAAATCCGAATTTGTGTTGAGGTAGGTTGAAAGATTTTCTTTCCATGTAAAAATGTCATTTTGTGGGATTTAAAACAACCCAAAACAGCAGGACAAACAGAATTTCTAAACGGTCTGTGAGATGACCATCATCGGTGTTTATAAAAAAAATACTAAGTTATCATTAAAATAATAATAAAATATATAAAAAAATGTGCTCCTCCAGATGCAGCATCATATCGAAGTTTTGCACAGGTTTAATATTTAAATGTTTCCTAAATATTCATTGTTTTATTGAGAAAAAAACCCTCAAACGAACAGATTTCTCCCCTAATTTCTGGGAGGAGGATGCCAGCCAGGGAGGAAGGCGA